ATCACATGTAAGTGGAGGTATCATATGTAATGGGATTGTATAAAACTAGACAATGATATGTCTTCCACTTTTTCTAATAAGACTGTTAAAGAAAATGTAGACACATACTAGGATGATAAAATGTTCATTTGATCTTAATCCTTAGTGTATTATGAACTCCTACTTATGCGAGTGTATTATTTGATTCACATCGACGAGAGTAACAATAAATTCACCCAATAATCGTTATGTTTTGAGAATACATTCGAGTGGGAGCTAGAAACATTCCTACACAAGATGAGTGTGTTCGGTTTTGTGGGTGTATATAAGTGATTCTCTTAAAATGTTGGTTTGAGGCTTAGATGACAGGGTACCCATCTTCTTGATAACCTAAGAATGATTAACCTATGATGAGATCATCATGGAAGGGCTATCCATTAGAGAACTAGTGGACTTAAGGAACAAAATGTGGGACTAGGAGCAAAACAGTAATTTTGCCTAGCTGGGACAATAACTTACTTTGTGAAAAATCAGATGAATTGTTATGATTATATCCCTAATATTTAACTTAGCTACAATGCTACAATGCATGAGAGTGTAACCCTTGGTCTATGGTAGAGTTATATTAGGTGTAAAATTTGTTAATTAAAGAGTTTAATCAATCAATTATTGACCATTGGAGCTCGAAGCCCTGCTAGCTGGTTGATGTCTACAGCAAACAAGTTGAGAGAAAATAAAATAATGGTGATTATTTAATTTTAAATTAAAATGTTTAATTTGACTTTTAATAATAAATTAGAATCATTATTAATTTAATAAGATATTACTTGGTTGGTCTTATGGAAGAGTCCGTAGACCAAACCCATACCATGCCGGAACCATAGTATATTGATAGCCTATTTATAAATCATAAATACATAAAAAGATTGAAATTTATAGAATGATGATACCCATCACACAAATTACTAGTTTATCCTTTTGTAATATTAAATAATTTTTAAAATCACAAATTGGTAAATTGGGAGGTTACAATTTAAATCCCTTAAAATTTGTTTAATTGTACTTTCCAAAATTAGAAAAAAAATACCAAAACCACAAAAATCGCAAAAATCATCATTTTCAAAAATTTGAAACTCATTCCTCCGACTCTTCTGCTTCCTCTGTTTTCCATCTCCGGTCGACTGTCTCTACATTCCTTCGCCTTCGCCACCGTGTGGGTGCCTCCTTCTTATCTCGCCATCTCCATTATTCTTATTCAAAAACTMGTCGTTTTTGTCCGGTCCTTCATCTCTGGTCGTCGTTCCTTCGTCTCCAGTCCCCCTCCATTGCCAGAGCAGTTCGTCTCTGTTTATCCCGATCGAAAGGTTTGCATTCAAATATATCCTAATAATTTTCTCTTTCAGATTTGTACAATATTGAAAACTTTTTTTTTTGGTACTGTTAAACCCTTTCAATGTTCCTTTCATGCCCAATTAGTCTCCAACGGTTGTTTTTTATTTTTGATTTCGTGTGAACTATTGTATATATGGGGATATAAGGAAGTTTATATGGAATTTAGTTTATATCCAGGTATCCGAGGTTGTAGTTGGAGAGTGAGTTGCTAAGAGTGATTTTAGGAAGTTTATATGGAATTTAGTTTATATCCACATATATCCAAGGGTTGTACTTGGAGCGTGAGTTGCTAACAGTGATTTCAAGAAGTTTATATGGACTTTAGTTTATATCCAGATATATCCGAGGGTTGTAGTTGGAGAGTGAGTTGCTAATAGTGATTTTACATTCAACGTTATGGGATACGAAGTTCACCGATGAGAAGATGTTGGGCCATTACAAAAGGGAAGAGAATGATTTTGATATTTTTGTAATTAATAATATTGGTAAATCAAGAGAATCAATCTTGGAGTAAATTAAGGTTTTGAAGGAGTTAGTTAAGTGATTAGTGTTGAAAATTTGTATGAGACCCACAATAATTAAATGATTATGATAATAATTTATGAAATTAAATCTTTTATATTTAAAAAAATAACTATAATAAATGTAAATGCAATAAATAAGGGTAAAATCGGAATTAAAATAAAATCCTACTCGTAGAAAAAATAGAAAATTTTAGATATTTGTGTAAATAAGTTTTTAAAACAGCTCTCCAAACACATTATCTCACAAATTAAAGAGGTGTTTGTGTCAAGGAATTATTAAGTTTGAAGTTCTTGGATCTGAAGCTGTTTTATCAAATGAGTAAATCTAGAGAGTTAATTAATCTAAATTTTTTGGTATGTGTTTGGGATACAGAGTTGTTAAACTTGGAATTATGAAATATGGGTTTGGAATAACAAGTTAGAGTCCGGAGTTGTGTAAGCTGAGTTTGTTTTTATTTGTTTATTTTTTTGCTACAATTTTATTATACAATTAGATCTAGATTTCAAAAACTTTTTAGAATTTTAATTAACAAAGATGTGTTCCCATCAGTTATAAAAATGAATTTTCTTACACGATAATTTGTTTGTTTTTTTAAATATTTTAAAGGTAAAATACAACCATTTTATTTGATATTTTGAAGAAAAAAACATAAACAAATCAAACATGTTATTTTTTTTACTTATATTTGAAAAGTAATAACACGTTTTAGAATTTTAATTTTATATATAACTAAAGTTTTTATTATCGTTACTTTTTTTTTCGAACCGAAGGAGGCAAAAAGCCTAAGAAACTAAAAGAGGAACAAGGCGGGGCATGGAGACCCCATAGCATTAGCAATCAACAAGGGAGAGAGACCTGGCGGCGACCGCTCACAACCATGACAACCCACAGTAGCCGAAGAAGCCCAACGAGCAAGCCAGTCCTCGCAAGAATTGGCTTCACGATAGATGTGCGAAAAGTCGACAAACCAATCCCTTGACAAAAGATGGTTAATATTCGACACTAATTGACGAAGAAAAGGCGAGTAATGATATCCCTTAGATAGGATATTGCACACCATTTCAGAGTCCACCTCAACCAGAAGATTCTTACAACCAACATTCCAGGCAATCTTCAACCCAGAAAATACACTCCACATTCGGTTGTAAACGACATCCCATGACCTAGATTATGCATTAAACCCACTATCCACTGACCATTTAGATCTCGAATGAGGCTGCCTGTACTAGCAGGGCCCAGATTCCCAAGAGCGGATCCATCAGTATTAAGCTTCCAACGATTAGCCGGGGGGCTTCCCAACTTATTGCAGACCAACGACGACAAGGCTTTGAAAGGAAAGGGGCAACCAAATTCCATGAATTCACAAAATTACTGGCAGTACGACGAACTATCAGAGCGGGCATGGTCGGAAAGGAGAATTCTGGTTGAAAGATAAATTATTGCGCCAATTCCAAAGCAACCAACACCCTATTGCATAAATAGACGACCAATGCGGAACCAAAGGAAACAACAAATTAAATTGAATCCATTGGGCAATGTTACCATCAAAGAAACAAGATGGGAGACCCAAGGGGATCAGGCCATGCCACAAATCGCGAGCACGGGGGCAGTCACGGAGAATATGCAACAAAGACTCCACTAAATCAGGGCAATAAGGGCAGGCAGCAGACTCGGAAAGGTGACAACGGACCCTTTCCTAATTTGTGAGAAGGCGATTTTGAGTCACTAGCCAAAGAAAGAAACGGATCCTGCTAGACCCGTCCCACTTCTAGATTCGATTCCAAATCGAAGGGGAATGACCTGTTGCTGTGGTTGAAATGAGCTGGGAATAGGTCGAAGAAACCGAGTAATCTCCATCCAAGGCCCCAAGCCAAACAATAGAGTCATGAGTTCTTGTAGAGGCAGAAGTAGGACAAATACTAGCTATGCGGCCAATAATCTGAGGGTCGAAAAAATCTGAAAAGGAATCCCAAATCCAATCTCCAGCGTTAGAAACATAATCACGAACCGAACGAAAAATATCAGTGTTCTGGATGGGAACACTTTGATTGTGGTTAATTTAAAAATTGAACATTTTATTTATTATAGTTAATTTAAATTAAATATTATTCATTTTACTAAAATTTATTATATTAAATTTGAAATAAAATACAATTTATATTTTTGTTACTTTGAATATGATTAATTTGAAAATCAAATATTCTTTTATTTTAATGTTCATTTGCTTGAAATTATATATATATATATATATATATATATATATCCAAAATAAACTACTCTCCCTATTTTAAATCATAGGTTAGAAATTTATATATATATTTTTTATAACTACCATTATTTAAATATGGATAAAAGAGAACAGTATTTTTTAAAAACTAAATTTTTTAGCTAGAAATTAAGATTAAATTTAATTGGATTGAATCATAGGTTGAAATTTAATTATTTAAGTTTATAGCATTCTCATATTTGTTTTATATCAACACATAGTGATGTAACTAACGATGTCTAAGTTAGTTAGTTGGTTAGCTAGCTAGTTAGTTCTCAAGTGCCAAAGGGCTAGTTAGTAGTGTCGTGGCCATGTTGCCTATGCATATAAGACTCTATTGTACACTTTAAAGGGATTATTCGATTAATAAAAATTATCTCATTTGAGTTATATCAATTGGTATTAGAGCTCCAAAATTCTTAAATTCAATGGTGGACAAGAAAACCATCTTTAATGTTCGAGACTCTTCCCTCGCCGGAAAAGAGATGGATCAAGCCGCCGTCCTCCCACCACAATCTACAACCAATCGCTTTCTCATGGTTGAAGGGGCTGTTGAAAACATTCAAAGGAATGTAGTTGAGATGCGCCAATTGATTGGTATGGTTGTAAGACTGTAGTTTTTTAACCATAGTTAAAGGAGTTGACTCATTCTTCTTACTAGAGTTAACTCACCCACAGTTAGTTAGTTAACTGCTTTTAGTTTCATTGATTTGGTTAAACAAACCAGAAAGGGGTTGGGTTTAAATACCTAAGCTAAACACTACTCGGCAAAACTGTACTTGGTGAATAGTTTCTTTTGATAATAAATAAAAGCTCTCTGATTGACAGTGGATGTAGACATTGAATGTCGAACTACTATAAACATTTTTTGTTATCTCTTCTTCTACCCGTTCTTGCTTTTATCTTACTTGATAGTTAGCTTGATTCCGCAACAAATTGGTATCAGAGCCATTGAAGAAGAAGGTTGGTGCCAAATCTAGTTGGCTTGTTTTCGTTTGAAAATTCTTGAAGCAAAAGGTCAAATTCTTCACTCCTTCTGGTTTCAGTTTTGAGGCTTCATCGATAAAATGTCAGCAAGATTTGAGCTAGAGAAATTTGACGGAAAAGGGGATTTCGGCCTTTGGAAAAAGAAGATGAAGGCGTTACTTGTGCAACAAAAGGTTGCCAAAGCCCTTGATCCAAGTAAGTATTCTGAATCTGTATCTAAAGAAGATAAAGCCGAGAATGCAGAAATTACGTATAGTACAGTGATTTTGTATCTTTCTGACAGTGTTCTTAGAAGGGTGAATGACATAGAAAGTGTTTCTGAACTTTGAACCAAACTTGATACACTTTATCTGTCAAAATCTCTCACAAATAAGGTTTACCTAAAAGAAAGACTGTTTGGTTATAAAATGGACTCAGATAAAGGACTAGAAGAAAATCTAGACGAATTTAACAAAATTTGTATGGAATTGATGAATATAGGGTAGAAAATCAGTGATGAAAATCAAGTTGTTATCCTTTTGAACTCATTACCTGACAAGTATAAAGAGGTTAAAGCTGCTATCAAATATGGGAGAGACTCATTAACTTTGGATATTGTTCTTGATTCCTTAAGATCTAAAGAACTATAAATTAAGGTAGAAATTAAAGAAAGATTCTGAAGCACTTTTCATTAAAAATAAACATACCAAGAACCACTCCAAAAGGTTTCAAAAACATCAGTTCAAGAAATCTCAAAAGGGAGGAAATAGTGCTAAGGAAAAAGAAAATATTACTTGTAATTACTGTCACAAGGAAGGAAATTTAAAGTATGATTGTCCCATTTTAAAAAGAAAAGGAAAGCTACCTGTTAAAGGAGAAAACAAACCTTCAGCAAATTTGTTAGAAGGATATGAATCTGCTGAAGTCTTAATGGTTGGATACTTGAATTGTACCGAGGAATGGAAAATGGACTCTGGTTGTACTTTTCACATGACACCCCACAGACATTACTTCATGGAATTAAATGAATTTGATGCTGGAAATGTTGTAATGGGAAATAATCAGTAGTGTGAAGTTAAAGGCATAGATTCTGTTAAACTGAAATTAAATGATGGTTCAACAAAGATTTTGTCCTCGGTTAGATATGTCCCTGGTTTGAAATGAAATTTGATCTCCCTAGGCACCATGGACAAAGCTGGTTTTGTGAATAAATTACAAGGAGGGGTATTGTCAGTGTAGAAAAATCCTGCTTTGAAAATGACAGGTACCTTAAAGAATGGTCTATACATACTGTCCGGCAACACAATTTCAGGGGATGTAAACATTGGTTTTGATGAAAATTTAAAAGCAACTGAATTATGGCATAGGAGACTTGCACATATTAGTGAAAAAGGACTTGTACAATTGAACAAGCAAGGTCTCCTTGGGAACATTGAGATAGGAGGATTGAAATTTTGTGACCATTGTGTAATAGGAAAGGCTAGACAAAACTTCAAACCATCCACCTTTTAAGTCTAAAGGAAAATTAGACTATATCCACTCGGATCTTTGGGGACCTTCAAGGATTATGACACATGGTGGGGCCAGGTACTTTCTTACTTTGATTTATGACTACTTTAGAAAACTATGGTTTTATCTACTCAAAACAAAGGATGAAACGTTTGAAAAGTTCAATGAATGTAAAATTTTAGTAGAAAATCAAACAGGAAAAAGGATAAAAGTACTCAGAACATATAATGGTTTGGAATTTTTAAATGAAAAGTTCCATGACTTGTGCAAATCATCCGGCATTAGTAGACATCTTACAGTCCCAGGTACTCCACAACAAAACGGGCTGGCAGAAAGATTTAATAGATCCATTCTTGAAAGAGTAAGATATATGCTCTCTAATGCCAAGTTACCAAAGGTCTTTTGGGGTGAGGCTGTCAACACAGCCACTTATATCATCAATAGAAGTCCTTCAACTGCTCTAAACTTCAAAACACCTCAAGAATTATGGTCAGGTAAACCTCCAGCTTTAAAAGATATGAGAACTTTTGGATGTACTGCTCACCTAGAGCTATAAAATGTATCTTTCTAGGTTACCAACAAGGAGTCAAAGGATATAAACTGTGGTCCCTTGAACATGGAGTTAATAAGTGTTTTGTAAGCAGAGATATGACATTTGATCAATCCTCAATGCCTTGGAAGGAGTCGAATACTACTCAAAATCAACCAGAAATTGTATATTTTGAGATTGAACTCCAAAATACAGCTATTGAAAATAATCCAGATTTCCAGCCATTAGATCCTACACCTAATATAGAAGAGGCTACACCTACTATACCTTCAAACCAAGAAGTAGCCTCAACTTAACAGGATGCTCATTCTAGTGATCATAATTCACAAAATTATCAATTAATGATGGATCGAAAGAGAAGAACCATTAAACCTCCAGCTAGGTATGAACATCCAGATTTTGCCGGCTATGCTTTGAACTGTCTAAATATATGTGAAGGGACAGAGCCCTCAACATATAGAGAAGCCATAAATTCCCCCGATTCTGAGAAATGGATAGCAGTTATGCATAGTGAAATTGAGTCCCTACATCGTAACAACACTTGGGAATTGGTTGAAAAGCCACAAAATCAAGAACTTGTAGATTGTAAATGGATCTACAAATTGAAGCCTGGAGTCAATGGTGTTGAAGATCCTAGATTTAAAGCTAGGCTTGTAGCCAAGGGATTTACCCAAGAAGAAGGAATTGACTACAATGAGGTTTTTTCACCAGTGGTTAGGCATACATCCATAAGGATATTGTTGTCTATTGTAACACATTTTGATTTACATCTTGAACAAATGGATGTAACAACTGCATTCCTATATGGAACCTTGGATGAAGACATTTTTATGAAGCAGCCTCAAGGGTTTATAGATGAAGGAAAAACAGAATTAGTATGTCACTTGCACAGGTCATTATATGGCTTGAAACAATCACCTCGACAATGGAATAAAAGATTTGATTCCTTCATTGTCTCAAAAGGTTTCAGCAGAAGCAATTTTGACAGTTGTGTGTAAAAAAAGAAGTAAATAAAGACACCTTCATACTCCTACTACTATATGTAGATGACATCCTTATACCATCTAAGGATAAAACTGAAATAAAAAGGCTAAAGGCTACTCTTGGAAGTGAGTTTGACATGAAAGACTTGGGTGCAGCTAAGAAAATTCTTGGTATGGAATTAAGTAGACATAGATCAAGACATACTTTGACTATCTCTCAACCAAGCTAGCTAAATAGAGTTCTTAAATGGTTTTATATGGAGACTGCCAAACCGGTTAAGACTCCTCTAGCTCTACATTTCAAGTTATCCTCAGCACAATCACCTATCGCTGATGCTGAACTACAGGAAATGAAAGCAGTTCCTTATGCCAATCTTGTTGGCAGTTTGATGTACACAATGACGTGCTGCAGGCCTGATTTATCTCACTCAATGAATATGGTCAATAGGTTTATGGCGAATACTGGAAAAGCACATTGGGAAGCCTCTAAGTGGACCCTAAGGTATTTAAAAGGGTCCATTGATAAAGGGCTAATCTATCATAAAGAAGATAGGTCAGGAGAAAACATGGTTGTTGGGTATGTGGACTCCGACTATGCAGCTGATCTAGACAAGAGACAATCATTAACAGGCTTTGCATTCATGCTATATGGAAATGTGATTAGCTGGAAGTCTACTCTGCAAACGGTTAATGCTCTCTCAACTACTTAAGCCGAATACATTGCTCTATCAGATTCAATTAAAAAAGCAATATGGCTAAAAGGTTTGATTTCTGAAATGAGTGGAGAGATATGCAGAGTAAAAATCTATTGTGACAGCAAAAGTGCTTTCATGATAGAACTAAGCACATAGATGTATGTTTTCACTACATTTGGGAGATTGTGCAAAAAGGTTTAGTGCTACTTGAAAAAATCAGCACAACTCACAACCCAGCTGATCCAATGACAAAGGTGCTCCCAGGAGAAAGATTTGCTTATCTGTGTGATCTAGTAAAGGTGAGAATTGGCTAATGTTTTTCCTATTATAAAGGATTTGAGAGCTCTATTTTGGTCTATTTTTGGATCTTTTGTTTTTTTAGAAAGAAGATATTCGCCAAGATGGTGATTTGTAGTTTTTTAACCATAGCTAGAGGAGTTGACTCATTCTTCTTACTAGAGTTAACTCACCCACAGTTAGTTAGTTTACTGCTTTTAGTTTCATTGATTTAGTTAAACAAACCAAGGCTTGGGTTTAAATACCTAAGCTAAACACTACTCTGCAGAACTCTACTTGGTGAATAATTTCTTTTGATAATAAAGAAAAGCTCTCTGATTGACAGTGGATGTAGACATTGAATGTCGAACCACTATAAACATTTTCTGTACTCTTTTCTTCTATCTCTTCTTGCTTTTATCTTACTTGATAGTGAACTTGATTCCTTAACAAAGACAATTAGAGTCTTTGATCCTACCACAAAACCTATAAGAATTCACCAAGGAGGACGATAAAAGACGATTTCGTCAAAATCATCATCAATACCAAGAGATAAAAAACTATAAATGAAGATCGATCTATTAAGTTTTGATGGCAAGATGGAAATTGAAAGCTTTCTTGAATGGGTAAGAATGTTTAGAACTTCTTCATTTATATGAACACACAAGATCATAAAATGGTTAGGCTTGTTGCTTTGAAATTGAGGGGAGGTGCCTCGGCTTTGTGGGATCAGTTGGAAACCAACAAAAGGCGTTATGGTAAGCAATTAATTCGAACTGGGAGAAAATGAAGAAACTCATGAGGGAAAGGTTCTTGCCTATCAACTACGAATAAATCCTCTACAACCAATATCAAAGTTTCAAGTAAAGGAGTAGATTGATTATTGATTCCATAGAGGAATTTTACCGGTTGGGGGCACGTATAAATCTTGGGGAACTTTAGTAGGATCAAGTGGCTAGATACATTAGTGGATTAAGAACGAACATCAAAGAAAAACTACAACTTCAACCTATTAGATACCTTACTGAGGCCATTGGTATTGTCACACAAAGCAACATTCCAATAAATTCAAACAACAATATAGTAGAAAAAACAACAATATAGTAGAAAAAAGGCAGTACAACATGCAAAGGTAATCCTTCCATCTATACTATATAGAAAGAGGATATGAGGAAAAAAAATTTATCTCTATTTTGCCCTTTT